GTGCCGGCTAAGGGGCTTCCCGGACTGCTCATATATCCTCGAAGCGTTCGGCACGGCGCTGGCGAGCATGCACAGCATGGACTCCCACTGGTTACGACCAATGGAGTCGCCAGCGAACACGATTCGGCCGTTCCGGCTCCTCTCCAACATATCCGTCGCATTAAACCTATTGAATTTGAACGTAATTAGAAAGGTGACAGAGACAAGACAAAATATTTTGCTCTCTAATAGAGATGTCAATGGCGATGGCTACCTACTTAGGGAGGTGGCAGCTGCCGTGAGGTTGCCACCGCCATTGCCGGAAGGACGAGTCGTTCCGGCCGTTGCGCTCGCAGCGGAAGCCAGGATCGAGGAACGGGCAGTCCTCCCCGTAGAGCGTCGCGGTAGTGGCGTCCTTCACCCATTTTCCATCAGAGTAGTCGCAGCCACCGGACGCGTCGGCGCGAGCTTTAATGTCTCCGCCATCATTGTCGATCAGAAGGGGCCGTGGCCGAGTCTGGAACAATGGTTTCTGCGGCTGCGGCACGAGCGTGAGGACGACGGAGAGCACGAAGAGAACCAGCAAGACGGACACCGGAGCGTGCTTAGCTTGCATGGATGGATCTCTGACTAATACTTGAGTAGTGATGGCGACCATTAACAGGCTGAGAGGAGAATAAGGAGCCGAGAGTGGCGTGGAGTTGCAATAGGAGTGAGGGAGCGAGTGGTGCTAGTGCCAACAGCTAGCGTACCGTGAGGGGCTAAATTTAGACAGCACGACCAGTATGAATGACGAACAATAGGACATAGTCATCTACACGTAGGAAGCGCCATTCAGAAGCACTCATTTTTCTTTCCAACAGAAATCAGTGGCACAGACAGTGCATGTGTCGAGCCAACAAAAAGTGAAGGGAACTTGAAACAAGTATTTTTTTTCTCAGACATTTCAGGATACATGACGCAATCTGTTTCAACCATATGGCTGTAATAATGGACCAATGTCCCAATTCTATACTACCATGAGTGGCAAGAGACAACACATGCCACTAAGTGTCCTAAAATCATGCTAGTGAGCGCAACTAAAACCCTGAACTAAACTATAGTGCTCTGTCCTATAGTGCATATAAGATTTTTCCAAAGTGAAACTTTGCACACTTTGACCAAATTTGTAGAGAACGATATGAACATTTACAAATTACAATGCTATTAAATAGACATCATATGAATATATATTTCATGATGAATCTAAGGGTAAAGATTGGGTATTAAAAATGTTGATAAATATCTCTATAAACTTAGTCGAATTAACTTTAAACAAATCCTATATGCACTCTAATTTGGCAGCTGGACTATATGCATCAAAAGGCACCAAGAGTTCGTACAAAGGACCATTTTTTTATATACTAAAAGGTATGACAACATAGAATTTCTCCCAAAATGACAATGACAGTTAAGAAACTCCCCCGGGCATAACAAAAAGATGCATTCATGCAGAAGCACGGGACTACAAATGTGAAGTTTTCTTTTTTGAAGATTTCATTCATGGTCTACTATCCACGGTAGCAAAGGCCATCAACTAATCCAGATAAGAAAATACATACTATTCTATATAGATATGGATACTAGATAGCAAGCATGGGCCATCAAGGATATGGGAACACCAGGGAACAAAGTCATATTGAATATTTGATAAGTTCTAGGTAACCAGCATGTTGAGTATAATGTTTATTAGGAAAGATGAGATAGACTAGGATTTGTTCTGACTTGTCTTGTGCTCCAAAGATTGTACTCCTATATATATGCCCACGAGGCTCAAGCAATACAACGACTATTCCACCAAAATCCTCTCTCTCCCTTCCAACATGGTATCTATCGCAAGTCGATCCTAAACCCTAGCCGCCGCCGCTTCCGCACCTGCGCGCCGCCCCCGGGGCGGTCGGCCTCCATGACCGCCGCCGGGGGCCACGCCGCCCGTACCTAGGGTTCGTCCGCCGGCCGTGTTGGCCGGCTGCCCTAGAGAGTCTTTTTCTCGAGCCCTTGCTCCGGGTTTTTTCGCTCTCTCGCCGGTCGTTTTGGTCGGCGTTTACTTTTTGGTTTTCCGATCTAAGACCGGTTTGCGTTGCCCGCCGCCGCCGTCGACACCTCGCGCCTCTACTCCGACATCGGCGCGACAGGCTAGCTAGTTCACCGACCCGACGGCCTCGCGTGACAGGCAGCCCTCAAGGCCGTTGTCCGCCCCCCGGCCCGTCCGTCGCCCTGCGCCGGCTGTCACCGCCCTGCTCCGACCGGGACTCCTGCATCACCCGACCCGGCGGCCTCGCGCCATGCGGCGGCCAATCATAGCCGCCCTGTCGCCCACCGTTGCCGGCTTCATCTCAAACTCCGCCGCCACCCCGTCTCCACCGAGTGGCGTCCCCGACCTCGCGCGCGATCGGCCTGATCACCCGCTCGCCGCCGCGGTCCGCCTCATCTACGCCGCGCGACCAACCTAGCCCGTCAATTACGCGCGCCTTCGCATGCCCCGTGAAGATCGTCTCTGAGTTCAGTGCGGCCCTCCGCCGATCGAGCAACGGGCTGCCCCTACGTCGCCCCGTCGGGCCGCAGCGCCGCCATCCCGTGGTTCTTCTCCCGGCTGCACCGACCCACGTCACTGTTGCGTCGCCCCTTTGGGCCGTAGTGCCGCGGCCCACGGTCTACCGCCGCCCCGAGGCCGTCCGCTCCATGCCGTCCCCGTGGCTGCACCGACCCTCGCGCCGCCGCTGTGTCGCCCCCTCGGGCCGTAGCGAGCGTGGCACGCGGTCCATGCCTCCGTCTCGAGGCCGTCCACGTGGTTGCACCACCCCGCGCTCCACCGCTACGCCGCCCCTTCGGGCTGTAGCACCGCGGCCCGCGGTCCCTGCGACCGTCCCGAGGTCTTCTGTCGTCGCCCCGACCTGCCCGCCGCCGCTGCTTCGCCCCTTCGGGCCGTAGCGCCGCGGCCCGCGGTCCACCGCCGTCCCCGTGCATTGACTTCCCGTGGCATGCGCCGCACCACCTCCTTTGGCGCGGGAACACCACCGTCCGCGCCGGTCTTCGTCATGCTGTCAGGGTTCTTCACCTACTTCGAGCATTGCCGCCGCACTCATAACCTAGCCGCCGCCGCTCTTCTTCGGCCGCTGCCGCCGCTACCCCTGTAGCCGCCTCCTCCGCCCGTCCACCCCGTTCGTCTTCATCCAGCACCAGCCCGTCGCCAGCGTCGCCGTCATCTACCCCGACCGCTTCATCTACTACGACAACCGCGTGCGACATTGGCCCCGCACCAATTGCGCTGCAACAGTCGTCGAGTCCTTCTCTGCTGGCCTCTCCGACTTCTTCGACATGGGTACAGCTTGTGCAGGTCCCAGTCTACCCATGTCTGGTGCTGGCAACACCGCCGCGTGCCTTCGTCCACGACGTGTTCACTGGCCTGGCAAGCCTGGCGCGGCGCTTCGTCAACTTCGTTTTCGTCCGTCTACGCATGCCCGGTGCTGGCAACACCGACGCGTGCCTTCGTCTACGATGTGTCCCCAGGGTTGGTAACCCGGCGCGACGCGTCGTCAACATCATCTCCGTCCTGGCGCACCACTACGCCCACGACTAACTCGGCGCCTCCTTGCGCTCGCGGCTCCACGGTGACTTCCTCGACACCGGCTACCCCGACTCGACATCGACCACGGCATTCTTCGCACGGCTACCTCGACCACGGCTCCACCACACACGCTCTCGGTTACCTCGACAAACGGCACAAAGGGCTACCGCCTTGCTTGAGCAACCTCGTCGGTTGCCACTCCAGCCACGACTCCGCGATGCGTCGACCGTTACGACTGTGGGGGGGTGTCCGTCGGCTTGCCTTCGAATTCTTCTCCAGTCTCACCGTCTGTGTCGCTACCGTTGTGACTGCGGGGGATGTTGGGTATAATGTTTATTAGGAAAGACGAGATAGACTTGGATTTGTTCTGACTTGTCTTGTACTTCAAGTAGATGATTGTACTCCTATATATATGCCCACGAGCCTCAAGCAATACAACGACTATTCCACCAAAATCCTCTCTCTCCCTTCCAACACAGCAAAATGGAGGCTAAAAATGCACGACACACTATTAGATTTAGCATAAGCAAAATAATTTCAGTGATATAACTTACAAATGTGTAATTAGCATTTCGCAATATTTTATGTGGTTAACTATGCTAGCTATATAACAAGGAAAAGCTATACTGGCAGAGACCATAGTATGATAAAATAGGTTAGCGAATGTATAACAGTTTACTATAAGTTTGCGCCATGTATGCCATATAGAACACCATCCTTCCACATCATTCCGATCCAAATGAAAGGATGCTTGAGGGTTTCAACACCATATCAAAAGTGAAAGTAGAAAAGTAAAAATAAATAAACAAAGAAACAATGCTGGAGCTACTAATCATGAGAGCCTAAACATACTTGGGCCATCTTCTTGACGTTTGAATGCTGATTTTTGTCTTTTATTTTTTTTTCAGGCTCTTCAGTTAGGAGATTAATTTTAAGCTCGACACCCAATGGAATGATCAAGTGTTGGGACCTTACAATATCTGAGGTTTTATACAACAGAGAAGAGGGAGGAGGGTTGCCTATTTCCGGTGAGGAGATGCAAGCGCATGAGGTGGAGGTGACAACACACCTCACTCAGCATGTTTTCCTTGACTTACTTTTGTGTCATTGAAGACATCATCCGAGAGGGAGAATAAAATGGCAATGCGCATGCATGCCCTCTTGGCAAATAGCATGGATGGCTTGCATGCGCCTTCACATGGATGGCCCAAAAGAATTGAGACAACATGGATGGCCTGCATGCACGTTCACTCGTGCGGAAGTTCTCTTGGAGAATAGCATTTTTGCCCTTCTTCCCCATCCCCTTGCCTTTGATTGGTCACAAACTTCACCAATCCGCGACCCGGCCAAACTTGACGAGATTATCTGAAGAACTCGATTTTCACTTTCCATTTGTCCACATTTTCCTGTACGAATGGAAGAGGGAATAGAGTCGAGATCCTTCTCCCGCACATCTTCCTCCGTAAGCACGTCGCCCCAACCAAAAAATATTTCTTTGGTTCCGGGCCTGTTCTTGGCAGGAAAGAGCCAGATTGATCTGATTTATTGCAGAGTGGATTCGAGGAATGGGTAGCGTCATTGAGGAAGCGCACCGGAAGGACGTCCTCATTATCCCTGTCGCCACAACCGAAGTCGGGCATTCTGGCTATCGAATCCTCAATCAGGTAGGAGAATTAGTTATGTCGCTCGTGGGATCTATTACTTAATTGTAGTATGTACCATGTCTGATCCATAAATCGTAAGGATCGTATTTTTTTGTGATTCCTGTTGAGATATCAATCAGGTACCGTAATTAATTGGCTTAGTTTTGTATGATATGCTTGGTTACATTATTATTATTTGTGAGTGGTTTGGTTCCGAGCTACCTATACCCTGAGACTATGCTTCCGTTGTAATCTTTGATCAACGTGACATGCTTTCAGGAGGTTCTTTTTGTTCTATGAAACAGGCGATGTGATGTGATGGTCATTCTCTTTCAGCAAGTGTGTATCACTATCACTCTGAACTTGGTCCGTGTGATACCACTATTGCCCAACCGTTTTATGTTCGGCCTCCTATTAGCTGAAAGATGCATAGATTTCCTTGGTAATCTTGAGAATTGATAAAAACTACAGATGTAAAAGTAGTGTAGACATACCAAGATTACCAAGCCTCTATGTTTGAACGCCCTATGTGGAAACATTCACCAAAAATCAAATGAACAATCATGTAGAAGTAGTGTACACATACCTGACCAGATGGTTACTCTAATTTTATTCGTATGGTTAAAACAATATAGAGCAAGGGCATGAATTTGCTCCTTTCATGGGATAAGTTTCTCAACCAAGTTATTAATGTTGTATATTTTCTATATTGCAGTCCAAATGTGCTAGAAATCGTAGACTCTGGTAGCGATGTAATCGACTCCGGCCCATGTGATTATTTGCCAAAAACAAGCCTCTGGGAAAGGCTTGGGAGTGTTTCTATGATGGACATAGACTCAACTAACTTCTGCTGGACCTCTCTTTCTTCATTGCACCATACGAAACATACTACTACAAGTTCGGAACCCACCGAGGATGATACTAACAGAAGTTTTGAGGTTCGTATTTTCCTTTTTACTTATCCATCTTCCTGTAAATTGTCTTCCCTGTTGTTGGTAAGATTCTAACTGGTAAACTTGATTATTATCCTAGATATATCACTTCCCTCATCAAATTTCATCTCAGTGGTCACCGAGTCGAGATTTGTTACTTTCTTTTTCTGCCTACCACAATGTACAGATACAGTAAGCATCATGCGAACTGTGCTAAAGCTCACAACACCTCCGCAAAAAGCTAACATCAATATCTCTCACAAGGATTCTGCTTCATACTGGAAAATATAGTTTATTAGCCATGGCTCTAGTTTCCTTCTAATAGCCTGTACCATTCTGCACAGGTGACTGTAAATTCTGGAGGAGTTGTATTCATTGCGTTATTCAAAATATCTAAAAATGGTGAAGTTCCTTCCAAGGAAGCTGCAGCAGTTATTAAAATAGCACCATCAAGGATGGCCACACAGTCAGAACGGTTCGGGTATGAACTGGCTAAATGGCTTGGCGTAAGGACCCCTCAAGTAAGTACTCGCTTTCTTGTAGTAGGCCATGCTAAACACATAATTATTATAGTGTGAACTCTCTTGACCAATGTAGGGCAGAGTGATTCATAGCTCCTCGTGTGAATGGCAACAAATAAAGGATGCAGTAGAGAATGCTCGACATGAAGCAATAGCTGTTGGTGATGAACTTCAGGAGATGATTTGCACTGAGATGCTAGAAGCTCTCGAACTAAGCCGATGTCTATTCCTGATGAAGTATTAACTCCAAGTTACCAGTAATGTGCCTGACAATATGGTACATACTTCTTTTCAAAAAAATATGGTACGTAGTTAACATGAAAAAAATATTCAACGTTGTTTTGCAGTTATGTACATGGATCCCCTCTACTAGAGAGCACAACACCATTTGATTCCCCGGAGTTTGCTGAAAAAACTGCTGAAGCTTTAGGTAGGATCTTGATCCTGGACCTCATTCTGAGAAATGAGGATAGGCTGCGGTGTCGGCCCCTTGGTTGGCGTGGAAACTATGCAAATTTACTTGTTGCCTACAAAGAAGCTTATGCAAACCTTGATTCATTGGATGATGTTCATGATTCTGCCATCATCCGTTACAAGCCAGAGATAATCAAAAGCCCTAAGAAACAGAAGCAGAGAAGATCCGTTTCAATAAGCGGCAGTGTCGGCTCAGATATCTCAGAGCTTTTGGAAGACTCTTATGATCAAATTGAGTCTGAGATTTCTAGCTTTCATATTGTAGCCATTGATTCGGGTGTACCACGAAGACCACCCGCTAGTAAACGAACGAAAGATCAAGAGAGCTATCCAAGACTGGTGGAACTAACACTAAACAACCTGGACTATTCTTCGAACCTCTTGTTTGAGGTGTCCATTGGAAAACTTGGTACCCCTGGACCCGAAGAATATGACATGTCATCCAATTATAGCTATCATTCTCCTCTGTCTGAGAGTGATATGGTAGCAATAGTTAATTCCTTCCGAGGAGGTTTTCGTAGTGCTCTGAGGGACCTTCAGAGGTTCCACATTTTCCTGCTCACACTTTATCAGAAGCTAGATGCCCTATTGAAAAATTTCTTTAATCTTATGTATAAAGGTTCAAATGAATTTGACAAGGAAGATGCAGGTCATTCTGATTCACCATTGTGTCGTGTAGAGGCACATACTGATTTGAGTGATTTCGAAGTTCCACGACATATGCGTAGGCCTTCCCGTACCTTATCCCGTGATAGTTTTGACATGTCATCTCCTATTTGTCGAGAGAGCTTTATGACGAAGAATTGGAAAGCAAATGGTGAAGCATCCCGTGGTCTACGATTGACGATGAAGCTCAGGGAATTTAACAAGTATGCCAAGGTTAACTTCTTTGAAGTGCTCATGGAAAACTTATTGATTTTTAACAGATTATACACGTCAATCTAGTTGGTATCTATTTGTTTTGCACTATTTGAATGCTCGGCTAAAATGATATAATATACCATAAGGTTAGAAAATTAGTTGTACAAAACCAAATAACCATCTATAAAGGATTCACACACTAGATTAAAAAAATAACAACAAATATCATAGGTTTGTATCTCAATAACTATTTCTCTATCTGAATGCTTTGATGGTGTGTTATCTCCATCATTTATGAATAGTCACCTTGCTTTCTCACCCAACCTAAGGTTTGAGGCATGTCCTTCCTGTGGTTCTCAATTGTTCAAATTTATTAAATAAACATGCAACAGTTGATAGTGCATGTAGGTTGAGTTTTATTGATAGACTTGTGTCTTGATGCACTGATAGAAAGAAGAGTTTTTACAAGTCCTAAGAACGGCAACACCCAGTGATTACAACATGTCACCTCTAATCGTTAGGCACATTCGGCTCTAGAGGCAAAGCTACCAGACCCCTCCTGCATGTCGGTGCCCATTGCCTAGTCCTCAACTTGATCGTGTCGAGGAGGCGAGCTAGGATGAGTTGCATTGTCAAAGATGATTGTGTTGCGATGCTTATAGATGCACCATTGCCTGGATGTATTCACGCAATACTATGCTTGCAGGTAGACAGTGAGTTAAACAAAGAAATAGAACAATGGAATGACATGCTCAGGACTGATGTTGTAAAATTGTGTCATGACAACAATTTCAACACAGGCTTCTTTGAAGGGATAGATAATAGTGTTGCCGTTGATGCTTATGAGTTGAAGGTGATCCTATTCTACCTAGCCTGCCTGGCAACAAACTATCTATTGTAGCAACTAAGCATATGAATTTCTGTTTTCAGGTTCGTCTTGAGCACCTTCTTGAGAGGATATCACTGATCTCTGATGCTGCAAGTACAGAACGTCCTTCTCAGATCACAGATCACATGTATATTGGTGGTGCTCTAGCTGCTCGGTCGACATACACACTTCAACACCTTGGCATCACCCATGTATTGTGCTTGTGTGCGAATGAAATTGGACAGTCGGAATCTCAGAAGCCTTGCCTTTTTGACTATCGAAACTTCTCAGTAAGTACATATGACAATTTTGTGAATAAGGACTCATTCGCTTTGGAGGAAATCAAAACGTAGGAATTACAAGTAGTATAGGAATTTGATAGGATGGGACTTGCCATTCTAAGGAATTGACTTGCCTCGTTCCTACGCACAAAATGAGCTTTGAGTGTATGTGTAGCTTCCTCCAAAAATACAGGAAATGAGTAGTATTCCTACAAAATTCTTGTACGCATTTCTTACAAACCGAATGCATATATAGGAAATTTTCCTCTGGAATACTTGTTCCTATGTTTTTCCTACAAAAATCCTCCAAACCGAATGAAGCCTAAACATTGGAAGATCATTTACATGCAACAAATGGCTGAACTCCACTTTACAACTTTCTCAGCCATAATAAGGAACTAACTTTCTTGCTTTCCTTGGGACACTTTGTGTTTCTTTTCTACAGATAAATGATGATGAAAATGCGGAAATCACTGATGTCTTCCAAGATGCATGTGATTTCATTGATTTTGTTGAGCACCTACGCGGCAAAGTTCTAGTGCATTGTTTTGAAGGAAAAAGTCGAAGCGCAACTGTTGTTCTTGCTTATCTGATGCTTAGAAAGTAAGACTGCATAATAAATGTTTTCCAGTTACCAATGAGGCATTAGACTACCCATAGTGGGGAATAACTTAGACTAGTAACATACATATCTTACTAGTCTGTGTTACTACCTCTATAGTGGGGAGTAACATATGTGTGATGTCAAACAACACTTCATTTATTAGGTTATAGACTCATCTTGTCTTGATATGCGTGATGTTACCCATAGTATGAGTAACTAGCTATGCTACTCAATTCATCTCTCTCCTCATTAAATCATTGCCACATAAGAAAATTTGCTGAGTTGGACTTTATGTTACTGCTGAAGTTACTCCCACTATGGACAGCCTTATATAACAATATCCGGTTAAGAAACTGATGAAAACCATCTATGACCAAACTATGCTTAACATAATCAATACAAGCTTTGCTTGGGATACGAACTTGTGTGAAACCTCATAAGAATGATAGTGCCTCAAATTTCAGTTTATTACTCTGTTGGTTTCATTGACTTAATTTGTTTCATGTTTGTTTAGAAATTGTACTCTTCTAGAAGCATGGAACATGCTGAAGAAGGTGCACCGACGTGCGCACCCCAATGATGGATTTGCCAAAGTCTTGCTGGATCTTGACAAGAAGCTGCACGGTAGAACCTCCATGGAGTGGCAGCACAAGAGGCCTGCAATGAAAGTGTGCCCCATTTGTGGTAAGAATGCTGGCCTCAGCAGTAGCTCACTCAAGTTGCACCTACAGAAGGCGCACCAAAAGATATCGTCAGGAAGCGTAGACTCAGCGATATCCTTGGAGATACAAAAGGCGATAGATGCATTAAAGACAGGGTGAAGTCGATAGCCCCAATGGAGAAGAAGGATTTGGATGGGTTTTCTCATAGCAAACTACACATTATACATACATCTATACCCTAACTTTTGAATCATGTACCACACATCTAGAAAAAGTCTTGTTGTACATTATAATGATATCAAGTTTCTAGTTCTTATTATTGCATAATTCTCAACGTATAACACTTGTTCAAATAGCATGTGTTTTTCCTCGGAAAACTGCAACAGCTTAATCTTTTTTAGTGAAGTAGCAACTTCAGCAATTTTAGCCTTATTTTCTAGAAATTTTGAAACATGTTCGAGATATCCTTCATATTATTTAGAATTATAATATACTAGAGGCAATAGAAGATTCACTTCGTCTTCGGTATAACCCCCCTAAACACACCAACGGATAAGTCTATATAGCCCCTCATGGGTAGGATAGTCTTTTTAATAAATGCGTCACCCGCGCCGCGTGTGTACGCCACGATGGGCCTGCCCATTGGTGGATGATGTACGACCAGTTCGCCCAATGAAATATGTCGCAAAAAGAATATGGCTAGGTGGGGATTCGAACAGACGGACACCTCTCGCTGATAGCCACTATAACTAACAAGTGCTTGTGAGTATTTAGGCAGCGCAACATTGAAAGAAGCTAAGAGCATCACCAAATAGTGAAAACAAAATTGAAACATTTTTCTGAAAAAAGAGATTATTTCTTTGAACACGAATATTTTGGAAATTTTGTGGAAAAAATTAAATTCGAACATTTTTTTGAAACTCTTGAACTTCTTTTCGAATTTGATCAATTCTGAAACACGGATATTTATTGAAACACAAACAAATTTCATAAAATACGAGGTACAGTAGCGAAAATTTTCATTTAAACAACAACTATTTTCTAAACTTTGAACATTTTCCGAAAACGTGAACATTTTTTGAAAAAATGAACAAATTCTGAAAACAGCAAGTACTGTAGTAAACTTTCTTTTAAAAAGCAAACATTGTTTTGAAATTTTTATAATTTTTTTAAAACACGTAGAAAACTTAACTTCTGGAACAATTTTCAAAACACTAACATTTTCCGTAAAATGGGAACTTATTTTAATTTCGAACAAATTTTGGAACAAGAACATAAATTTAAAGTTCCAAAAAAATTCAATATGCGAACAAAATTTTGGAAATATGAACAGGTTTTGTAAAATTAAGAAAAATGAATTCTTTTGGAAAAAAGTGGATATATGAAAAACTAAAGAAGAAATAAATAAACTTGAAAAATGGGAAATAAAAAACGAAAAAGGAAGAAAAGGAAAACAAAAAATAGAAAAATAAAGAAAAACTGAAAATAAAGAACCAAAAAACTGCAAAATCTGCGAGGTAAACAGACTATGTTTACAATATTAATGCAAAAAAATTGAGGAAAACTTCACAAATATGTAGCATTTTTTAATCCGAAAAATAAATTAATGCAAAACAATTGAGAAAAAGCTTCACGAATAGGTAGACCTTTTTTACAAAATCTATAAAAAAATAAAAAAATAAAAAAGGAGGTGATTTTTTTTCAAATTCACAAGCACTTTGGTCGGCCCAACAGATGCCCGACGGGAGCGATGTCGTTGCCTGGTTGGGCCAAGGCCTAACCTTTTTAAAATTTTCTTTTTTTCTTAACTCAATTTTGTCCTTTTGAAATTTATTATTCTTTTTTAAATATGTTGGAAAATTTGAAATATTCTTTGGAATACTAACAAATGTTCTTGTAATCAAATATTGTAGTTCAATTTTAACAAATATTGGTCATAAAAGGCCATGAGAAAATTGGGACCATTTGATGGATTATGGAAAAAAAATGTGCTCTCGAACATAGACTCCTAGCCTATCCGGACACCCTACATTGAACATGGTGTTTTTTTGAACATTCTTGAAATGGCCCAAACTTTTTCCACCAGGTGAGAATGTTCGTGGTAAGCATCAATGCCAGGTCTGAACGACTTCCAACACCATACGCAAGTTGTGTCACTTCTGACCATTTATCGGTCATTTTTCACCGAGAAAACTTTAGAAAATGCAAGGATTATCAAAAACTCGAACAACATGGTGTCTTGAGCTGGTCATATAAGTTGATGGAAAGAAATTGGGGTCATTTGACAATGCCGATAAAACTGGCTCTCATACGGACCGTTCTGGCTACCAGAACATCATCAGGTTAACATGGTCCATTTTTAAACATGTGTGAAATGGCCCCCACTTTTGCCAGCAGGTGGGCATGCTCATGGTAGGCATACATTCCAGGTTTTGAACGATTTCCTGTACCGTATGCAAGTTGCGTCACGTCCAGCTATTTTTCACGGAGAAAACACCAGAAAATGTGAAAAGCATTGAAAAGTCAGAAAAATTGGCATGGTGCCTTGAATTGGTCATATAAACTCGTGGGAAAAACCTGGGGTCATTTGATGATGCCAAAAGAAACGGTTCTCATACGGACCCTTCTGGCCTACCCGAACATCCTTTGTTTAACATGGTCTATTTTTTAACATGCATAAAAATGACTTCAACTTTTGCTGCTAGCAGGTGGGCATGCCCATGGTAGGCATCCATGCCAGGTTTGAATGATTTTTAACACGTATGCAGGTTGCATCACGTCCGGATATTTATCGGCCATTTCTCACCGAGAAAACTCCAAAAAATATGCAAAATATGTTGAAAAGTCAAATAATTTGGCATGTTGCCTTGAATTGGTCATATAATCTTATGGAAGAAACTAGGGTCATTTCAACATGCCGAAAAAATGGGCTCTCATACGGATGCTTCTGGCCTACCCGAATACCCTCTATTTAACACTAGTCATCTACCCGTGCAACTGCACGGCCTAGAAATTATAGGTATACATTTTATAAATAAACTTATATTTATATGTAAAATGGAATTGTTTAAATTTCAGATATCATACAACTGGAAATATGCTAATTTATTCAACCTCTTGCACAAATAGGAATGACATTCATTCAGTTGATATTTATTAAGATGTTTATATTCATATTTCCTTATGCAATTTTTATTTTACTTGGCACGGTCTTCTTTTTGTACGATGCGATTTAATTATTACTTTTTCAAACAGGCATTTCTTAGCTGGGGTGTGAATATTTTTTAGCTTTTTAATATAAAGAATTTTTAGTTTTATATACGTGCTTTTTTTCAAGGAGAAGGCATATGTTTTTTTTCAAGGTGGCACATGCTTTTTCTAGGAAATTAGACGTGGGTTTTGAGTATCCTTTTTAGACGTGCGAGTTTTATTTATATACGTGGTGAGAAGTTTTATTTTTGACGTACATGGTGATTCTTTTAATAAGACATGATTCTCTTTTTTTGTACGGATGGATTTCATCCCGTACGTACATGGTGTTTCCTTGCATTGGCCCTCTAGTAGATTTTAACCATAAATGCATGGTCTTTTTTTAGATCAAGGTCTGAAGATTTTTTTTAAGTTGTATGTACGTGTCTTTTTTTGCATAGAGATAGCACGTGCTTTTTTTCCTGGGAACTTGGATGTGGGCGTGGTTGACTCTTTTTTTTGTTTTTTTCTTTCTGGGAGCTTAGATGTGCGCGTGGAGGACTCTTTTTTGACACTGTGGATCGTATACCAATGGGACTCTAACCACAATCACTTATTTAATCTGAATCGTTGATCTATAATCTAAAGGTTAAATTTATATGTTTTCTGAGAATTAATGTGGAGGCTTCATTGGTGCTTCCAATTAGTAAATGTAAGATGAGATGGTCTATTTCTGGACATCCATGAAGTGACTCCAACTTTTTTCCAGCAAATGGGCAAGCCCATGATAGGCATCTATGCCAGATTTGTATGATTTCTGACACTGTATGCAAGTTGTATCACATCCAGCCATTTATCATCAGTTTTTCATCGAGAAAACTCCAGAAAATGCAAAAATTGTTGGAAAGTCAAACAATTTTGCATGGTGCCTTGGATTGGTCATATTAGCACTAATGGAAAAAACTAGGGTCATTTGACAATGCCAAAAAAAAGGGGCTCTCATACGGACACTTGTGGCCTACCCGAACACCCTCTATTGAACATGATCTATTTTTGGACATGCATGAAAAACCCTAATTTTACAGTAGGTGGGCACGCCCATAGTAGGCATGCATGCTAGGCTTGAATGATTTTCAACACAGTATGCATGTTGCGTCACCTCCCACCATTGATCGACCATTTTTCACCGAGAAAACTCCAGAAAATGCAAAATTTGTTGAAACCCAAAATAACATGGCATGATGACTTGAATTGATCATATAAGCACATGAAAAAATTGGGGTCATTTGATGACGCAAAAAGGAGGCTCTCATACGGACCCTTCTGGCCTACCCGAACACCCGCTGTTGAACATGAGCTATTTTTGACCATGCATGAAATGACTCAAAATTTTCCCAGCAGGTGGGCATGCCCATGGTATGCAAGTTGCGTCACATCCTGCCATTTATTAGCCATTTTTCACCCACAAAACTCTAGAAAATGCAAAATTTATCGAAAACCAAAACAACTTGGCATGGTGCCTTGAATTAATGTGTCTTACAATCCCATGAATTTTTTTGGATTATTTGACAATAAACAACATGCTGTCAAATGGAGCCTTCTGGCCTATCCGGATATCCTACGTCGAACATGATGTTTCTTTGGACATTCTTGAAATGACTCCAACTTTTGCGAGTAGGGGAGGCATGCCCATGATAGACATCCATAATTTAAAAAGTTACTTAAAACTTTTAGTTTAAGTTTTGAACAAAACTAATAAATAAAAGGGATTAAATTGAAAATAGTTAATGATTTTGATGAATTTAAAAAATATTTAAACTAACAAAGAATTTAAAATCAGATTTTAAAACTATTATTTTGGTATTCCAATCAATATTCTAATATTTTTAATAAGTTTTAAAAAAGTACTAAAATTGAAAAATGAATTAATGAAAAAAAGACAAACAAAATATAGAAAGGAAAAAGGAAAAATAAGCAAAAAAAACAGAAAAGCAGGAGATTAAGCTTGTTTGGCACCACGCGACCGACTGAGAAACGCTTTTGGCCAGCCCATTTCGGCAGATAGCAGAGCAACTACCCATCCGGTAGTTTTTTTGGGGTGACTCAAGAACAAATCTGGTACTTTTTCTTTCACCTGATTTAATTTTTCATTTTATTTTTGGTGTCGATTTTTCATTATATTTTTATTTTCTATTTTCTGTTTCTTTTTAAATTGTTTTGTGCATTTTCCTTTTTCCTTTCTATTTTGCGT